GGATGTCCAGGCACAAACTACTAGAGGCAATAAACTGATACTAGACCTTTATTCTGAATTTTATTTAAATATAATAATGATTTCACTCTGTAAAATAAGTGACCCATTCAGGTTTCTCTCCCAGTTTATCATAGTCTCTTCCCACATAAGCATGCACCCCTCATTTGAACAAAAGTTTTCATTCACTGGGTTTTTAATTATCTATCATTTTAAGTGTTTTTCCTGGGAAGTCGACTTGGAAATCTAATTTCTAGCTCTAAAATAGAATTCAATGAGTATAAAGAAATATGTTATTATTATTTGGCCAACCTCCCCTCTACCCCTGCGGGTTAAATAACAAGTTGCACAAATGAAGTCTTTCTATTAGGGAAGGAAGTGTTGCTATTTTTTTTCTTTGTAAAATAATGATTGGTATCTTCAGTACAACAATACCTCTGTTTACAGTATGCCTGAACTTGTTCCTAGATTTATATTTCAATATGCTCTTTAGAATGCAAAATTCCTGTCAAATTAAACAGTGCTCTTGTCTTGCCCACTTCCAGCAAATCACTTGCAGCACCTAATAAATCCAGCTGAGGTTGCTTCCATGGCTTGATGCTGCTGAAATCATTATTGTCCTGCCTTGTTTCATGTCAGAGACCTCTTTGCCTCATCTGTCATGAAACCAATTTCACTTTATTTACATCCATTTGCTAGTTTAATTACTGTGCTGATGAATAGCCTGAAGGAATTAAGTTACGAGTCTTTGGAAACCCAAAGCGACAGATATATGGGTTACCTTTTAACTACAGGAAAAGAAATAAAGGGTAGTAGCATGTACCAAAATTCAAAGATAATAAGTGTTTCTCCCAATTGAGCTACTCTTGAAATTCAGGATGATCCTTTCTTTATGTGTTCATCATTTTCTGGATGAAATACAGTGCTTTGGAATTCTTCACATTTATGGATTAATTTCAGTTCTCTACAATACAGTATAATTCTCTATTTTAAATGCCTTTTTTTCTTGAGTCATAGATGATTTTCCCAGCCAAACCAAATAATGTGAACCAGTGGTGATTTTTAATTAAAGGCACCTACCAATGATAATCTTTCTCCTAACTGAGGACTCACTTGTATACAGGAATAGCTGCCTTTATGAAAATGTTAAAAATACTTCCAACCCAATATACAGCACAAATTATTCCACTTTTATATTATAAATATTGTAATAGCTTTCACTATGTTTTTTGTTTTTTTCTCTTGGAGCACTATGTCACAGTAATCTTTAATATGTTTTTAAATCATAAATAAGAATATTCTGCTGCCTCTCCCTTACAGGCCCAGTATAACAGAGCACTGTGAAGGTATATTAATGACAGAGGACTTGTGGTGTAGGTGAACAATTTGTGCTCTTCAATATGTACAAGCAGTCAATCATTTACATATATATTTCTTAAAACCTAAGGTCTATAAACTCAGTGTTTCCATTATCTTATAAATTAACTGTGCAGTATAAGGCTACTAATCATGACAATATTTAAAAGCAAGAATATTTCTTCCTAAGTTCTATTATTAATTATAGATATTATTTTATAAATTTTTACTTGTGGTGGTGCTGAGGACGACCCCAGGGCCTCCTCACACATGGTAGGCGAGTGCACCACTACTAACCCATATCACTAGCTCTAATTATACATTTTAAAACTTAAAATTTATCATCCAGAAATTATATTTTTAGGTGGTCTATCATTATTAACTTAATTAAACTAATAAGTAAATATACCCAAATTAATTTTTGAATTTATATTTTCTTCATTCTCAAGTAGTACTGTACATGACAAGAATGCAATTTTTAAATATAAGTACTTATATGTTTTACATTCATTGCTGTTTCTGATACAGTTTCTAGACCTTTAAAATGTCCTTTCATCTGCTTTACCTAAGAATGACAGGTTTTGTGCACATGACAGATATATGCAGGATTTCCAAAAATAATTTAAACATTTTTCTTACAGACTTAGCACATTTACTCACTTATAACTTCTCCATGCTGAGTACACAATTACTTCTAAGGTCCTGCAAACTCTCTAAGCTAGACATGTGGCCAAAATAAAAATACTTTGAACATTGGAAGGCAAGAATATTTCTAAACAAAGCAGAAATGAGAAAAGAAATGAGAAAAGGGTAGCTCTCTTTTTTCTTCCATGTAATAGTTTTGACCTCCTTGTATATTCTAGTTTTATTTATCATAAAGCCAGCTTAGAGGAGAACACAAATGTAAATGTGCTACAAAAGAACTAAAAGTAGTGAAAATTATACCGTCCATGCAGATATAGATATAGCCATATATATACATATACATACACATATATACACATACATTTATATTCATTAGAAATTCCCCAGGAACCTCTCCCTCATATACCCTGACATCCCTAAATACACATCTTCACTTTTTCCCACCCAGCACTTTATAATAAAGCTCACCTATACAACAACATACATAATAAAAACAACTTTTTCATACAAAGAGAGTCTTGCCTATAAAAGTTTTGTAATAATCAAGCCCTAAACAGGACCCTAGAGGTAAAATTTTCTTCTGTTTAATCGAACCAGCACTATGCTAATTATTTGATCTACATTTATGAACAGTTTTGAACCCAACAGAAAGGAAATCTGTACCGATTTAGTCTTATGTATTCTTATTCTTTTTTAAAGAAAAGAAATGAGGTTAGGAATTTAAATGTTTTCTGCCTCTCCCCTCCCCCAGCTCTCTCATCCTCCCCCTTTTCCGAGACCTTCTCCTCTCTCTCCAGCTCCTTTTGATTAATAGATCCATGTGGCTAACGGCCTGACATATGGTGTGCGAAGCAGCTTGAGATAGTACCTTAGGCATCCCCTACGGCCATTAACATATTAGGGGCTTATGTGCAGTCAGACAGTCAGACCTCATCCAGAGCCAGCCTTTGCAGAAAGGCTGACCCTCAGAGCTGTTTGATACAGAGTTTCAATAATGCTCCGCTCTTCCATAAGGGAGTTGCTTCTGGTGCTGAAACACTGAGACAAAACTGAACAAAGTTTAGAAATGCGACTCAGTTGCATTCAACAACAAGGGGAAAATGTGCTTACATCTGTTTGTATATGGATATGCACATGGAAGCGAATATTTCGAGCTCCCAAACACACACCAGCTCCTGAGTATTATCAGTAAACAGGCAATGTCAGCTGCCAGGATTCATTTTGTTTAAAGATTTATTTTGCTTAAAGTCTTCTTTATACCCAGAACACTAATAGTACTTTAACAATACAGTTACTAATAGAGATGATTCAAAAGCAAAACTGAAACGCAGAATGTTTAACAAAGACACTGTCTGAATTACGTAGCTTGAATTTTCCCCTAGTAGAACTCAAATACATTTTACATCCATACCCTTAAAAAAAGAATAATGAAATATAAGATGTGATAATGTTTTAAATACATGTGCAGATCAAATCTCTGGAGAGGTAACCAGCCTTATTCTACAAAATCTGAAAGTTTACTAACAAAAAAGTCTTGACAATCACTGTGAGAAATGGGAAAAGCCTCGAGTGTGTGTGTGTGTGTATGTAAAGTTGTGTGTGTGTGTGAGTGTGTGTGTGTGTGTGTGTGTGTGTGTGTGTGTGTGTGTGTGTGTGTGTGTGTGCGTGCGCGCAAGGGGGATGATATTCACAAATCAAAGCAGACATCTCACTTGAAGCTTATTTAATTCACTTTAACCAGGCAACTGAACCTTGAAATTCACTTTGCCCAGGTTCTTCTTCCTCCAGCCTCCTGCTGATCAGCCACTGTACCCCTTTTGAACTGAACTCTGCCTGTTTGCTTGGCAAATAAATGCTGTTACACCCTATTAAACCTTTTAGGTAGTTTCATCTTCGGATTTCTCAAATACCGAGCTAATAAGGAGGTGCTTTGATGCTGGTTTACTTTCAAACTATAGCCTTGAGGCGTTAAAACGCACAAAAGGTAACTGGAAAAGTAAATTGCCAGGAGCAAGGCGCACCTCCCTTTCAAAACCGCTCCGACCCTCCGCAGAGCTCCGAGTGATAGCCTAAAATCTGAACATCGTCCTATTCCTACGCTGAAGTAGGTCCCCTTGGCATCCCCTAGGGTTTTGAACTGATGCCACTTTACCAGGAGGGCGAGGAGAGGAGAAACAATTTTCAGTTTGAAAGCCCTGGAATCCCTTGGGGGAGGGTACAGATGAAAGGTGGAGACTGAAAAACTGTGCACAAGTTGATTACAGGCAAACAAGTTATCTAGTGAAACGTGGAAAATAGGAATCGGAGACTTGTTTTAAGCATTCCCTGATAAGTTAAGGCGTGGCAGTGGTGCCTGACAGTCCTTATAGGCACTAAAACTAATTTTAAGCTCCAGGTTTAGCTTGAGCTGTGGAGAAAAGACGGCGCACTCTCATACATGGAATACATTTGTTTCCTTCCGTCCCAAACCCGAGCGGGCGCACAGGCACACACACGCACACACGCACACAAGCACACAAACCCCCAACTCGGGCGCTGCCTTATTTAATATAAACAAATAAAACAATGGAGACGCATTCATTTTATTTAAAACGGGATGTAAGCGTCTGCCGGTCAAAGGCTGACAGTCGGTCTCATTTAGGTACATTTTCCGAAGAAAGGCAAGCCCGGGGAAGTAGCTCCGCACAGTGTCAAGTGAACCCTGCCTGCTTTTTAAAAAATACCTACATTTCCATTTCTAACTCAAGAAACACATTTTAAGATTGCTCAAGGCTCTGGACACTTGAGCTCCAATGCCAGCCTCAAAGATTCTTGTCACATTCGGCTTCTCTTTCTTTCTTTCATCACAACGATTTAGTAAAGTCGCACAAGTGATCAAAATTAACATAAATCATTATTAGTTATTAGGATTCGCTCTAAATTACACTGTGAATATCGCACCAGCCCCATCTGCCGCCCCTGCTCTCGTAGTAATAGATTGCAGATAAAATAAATGTCCTTACCCCATTAGAAGGTTCCTGTCTCTGTAGCCAAAAGCCAAACAAAAGCAATAAATACCGGGCTTTTTCTCTCCACTATTCAGCTGTGACTCTTTTCATCAGCTCTTCCTCTAGAAAAGCTCAATAGCTGCCTGAAAATATTGCATTTTATATCACCAAAGGGCGATTAATATTGCATTAACTGTATTTAACATTTTTTAGCGCGAGTAATCGACAATGAGTTCTGTTGGTAAGTGTAAGGGGCGTCAGAACTACTGCAGACCACTTCGGATACCCTTATGAATGTATTATTTGTCTCACACGTTGTATTTTTAAAATATATTGTTAGTGCGTACAGCGCGATGTTTGAAGTGGAAGAAGCTACACTAATGGTCTGCTTAAAGTATTCTGACACTGTCTGGAGACAGCCAGGTCTCTGCCTTCATTAAATGTTTATTGTCAACACTTGGCGGGGGCCAGGAGTGGGAGAAAAAGACTGGTGTAAGTGAATTTCCACGGCTGGAAATTGTCCACATTTTGTTCTGTTCTGATCCATGTCCACAAAAGTTTGTATATGTTTTGCCGCACTGAGGCCAGGCGTTCCTTATCAAACAAACTTTTGTTTATAATTCATTTTCCTTAATCCCTACTAGAAGCCTCTTCCCCTCCACCCTTCCTTTTACCAACTCTCCTTCCAGCTGCTTTTGAGCCCCTCCCGTTTCCCTCCACCGGTTCCTATCTTCTTCCCTTTTCTAATCCCGAAAGAAGCTCAAGGCTTCTCCGCGGACGGGGCAAGGTCCCCTGGGTTTGCTCCCCAGCCCTCGATTTGCGGGAGGAGAGCGCTGGTCTCCATCTAATGCTCTGCCGGCTTCTCGCAAAGCCAAGATTTTCAGTCTTCGCTTTGAGATTTAAGATTACGCCAAGTTCCCCGAGATGAAAATTTGAAGAGCCAGCCTTTCGCCCCGGGGTATAAATCCTTCCTTGCCTGATAAATCCATGTCGGTAGCAGGACTTTGGTAATGTTTCACCTTAGCAACAGAACAAAAGCCAAGATCAAGATCGTATCCCTCTCAAATCTTTCTAAAATGTGTAAGGCAGTTCTGAAAGTTTTGTGACTTTTAGGGTGACTGTTGACTTAGGTGTCCTGGACATGTGGGAGACTATTTTTAACCACTGAGATTTTAGTCCGTTACTTTTTCTTTCAGAAGGTCCTCAAACGCACGCAGGAGTGGAAGGGGATCTCCAGCAGCTCCTAACTTTGAGCGGGGAACCAACCACTCCGAGGGGGACCCGACGCGCTCAACGCGCATGTGCGTTCCGGCGCGCTCCCTTAGCTCCTCGCGCGCCCGGGC